CTTATCCAAGCAGCCACACACACTCTCTTTCTCACGCATGCACACAAACACACCCTCACACATGCGCGCGCACACACTCACAGACACACACACACAAACAAAATAGGCAGCGGGACTACCAGCTAGATTCACGTGACCTTGTGGACAAAGTTACGGAGGTAGAACTTGTTTTCATGACGACACTTGGTCACAAGCTCTGACGTCTTGTTGAGGGAGCGGGTCTTGTCGGCCCAGGCGATCTCTAGCTTCTCGGCCAGACACAGGTTGCAGCGCTTCGAGATGTTAGAGGATGGTGCGGCTCTCCTCACAACGGACCACCTGATAGTACGGAGGATTAGCAAGACGAAATTCGCGTTCGCGTTCGCTCTCCAAGGAAAGTCGAACTCAGTGACGGAATTCGCGTTATGAGAAGGATTAGCAGACAGAATTCGCACATGCAAGACGTTGACACGACGTACATTGCGTACGGACAGTACAGCGTGGGAAATTTATGACTACCCTGACACGGATCCGCGATTGGTGTTCCGACTACTTTTCCGAACGAAAAATGCGAAACTACGCAATCCAGTTCGCGAACTGAAAAATGTTTGCGAACGCGAACGCGAATTTCGTCTTGCTAATCCTCCGTACTGTATGGTTTGTTTTCATCCTTCCGGTGGCGAATGGTATGTTGATGACCATTGAGTCGTGTCTTGATTATCCCTTCCGTTAATCCAGTGTACTCCTTCATGTCGCTGCCGGTTACATGTGCCCTGTACGCAATGCTGTACAAGAACAGTTAGTCAACTGTAACATTGATCCTTACCATGATGATGCATGTATGCTAGGAATAATACATGTGTAGGTGCTCTTGTTCATCAATAACACAACGATCGATGAACCAAAAAAATGTATCCAGAAAAAAGTTTCACTCTGGCCGACCGAGTCTCCTTTTTGTGGGGCTGCCGACCCAAAACAGGCCTATTTTTGTTTTGGCCTAATAGGGGTGTCAACGAGTAGTAGGTTACCTGTGCTACCTGTAATTTTATCGGGTAGTAGGGTAGTTGGAGTACGTACGGTGTTTTTGCAATGGTGCAGGTAAACAGCATTGCTTAGTGCTACTGTACACTTTCTATGTAGCGCAAGTGCACACTCACAGTACAAACTGTGTCAAAAAATACCCGTTAACATTCTACTCCCCATGCTAGAGTATAGAGTAGACACACACGCGTGCAGGACGCGACACACCAAAAGACAAGAGAGTGAGTTTGGAAGAATGGGAATGTCGGGCAGAGTAGCTGGCCTCAATTGAGTGCGCGTTAACGAATCGTGTGGTCGGCCTACCGAGGGCAGGAGCTGTATATGACCAAGTGGGTCGGCCTGCGCTGAGCAGGAGCGGTTTGTGACCCATGCGAGTTGGTGGGTCGGCCTGCGTTGAGCAGGAGCGGTTTATGACCCATGCGAGTTTAATAGTAGTGCGCGAGAGGCCAGTTACGGAGGGGTGCCCGCATCCATGTGTTTCAAAATATATGGAGTGGAGTGTAAGAGTAAGAAATGGGATGAGGAGGGTGGGTCAGAATTTGAAAGCTGACTGCAGGCAAGGAAACTGGAAAGACAGCAAGCTCTGTTGTGCGCACAGGAAATCTGCGCATGCGCAGAGCAAGGGCATGTGATGTCTATGATACACAGCAGTATGTAGAGAGAGAGCAAGATCGTGCACACACGTAAGGAGGGTTATGCAACCCGTTATAAAGGCCAACAGCGAAGCAATGGTACGTGACTGTTAACAACGGTAAACTCCTACATTAACCGAACATTTAACATTCTACTCCCCATGCTAGAGTATAGAGTAGACACACAAGCGTGCAGAACGCGACACACCAAAAGACAAGAGAGTGAGTTTGGAAGAATGGGAATGTCGGGCAGAGTAGCTGGCCTCAATTGAGTGCGCGTTAACGAATCGTGTGGTCGGCCTACCGAGGGCAGGAGCTGTATATGACCAAGTGGGTCGGCCTGCGCTGAGCAGGAGCGGTTTGTGACCCATGCGAGTTGGTGGGTCGGCCTGCGTTGAGCAGGAGCAGTTTATGACCCATGCGAGTTTAATAGTAGTGCGCGAGAGGCCAGTTACGGAGGAGTGCCCATGCCGACATTCCCATTAGGGCCAGAGGAGATAGCGGGTGATAACAGCCAATATAGATGGTAAGTATGTATTGCACAAGAGCGTTGTTCTAGAGGCATAAAGTCAGACTGATATTGTGGAGTAGGATCGACAGAGAACGCTATCTGCATCCTAAGTGAATGTCTTTGCACTTACTCGGTGATCGGCTGGACCATGGTGTCAGGTCGCTCCGCAGCTGTAGGAGCAAAGGTCCTGAAGGCATCCATCTTGTTCCGGGACAGGGCATCAGCGATGGTATTGGAAATTCCTGGCAGGTGCGATGCTCGGATCAGGAAATTGTGCTTCACACAGATTGAGTACAGGGTGCGGATGAGTGCCATGACTGCAGGAGACCGGCTCGTGCCCGTCTTCAGGCACTCCACGACAGCTTGGTTGTCGCACTGAAACTCCACACGCAGCCGCAGCCACTCGATCCCCCATGTGGCGCAGGCCGCGACAATGGCGAAGAGCTACTTGTAGGTAATGCTTAGTTCCAGTTGCTGCGGAGACCAGTCACCTCTGAACCAGCGACCATTGAAGAAGGCTCCATATCCAATGGTGCCACTTGCGTCGGTTTGCAACTGGAGGTCAGCGCTGGGCATCCACTTCTCCAGCAGGAAAAATGACTTTCCGTTCCATGTTGACAGAGTCTGGTGCCACCAGCTCAGGTCGCCCTTGGCTGAGGCTGAGAGGTGCAGCATTCGGTGAGATGACATCTCAGATGTGGCCTTGTCGAGGTCATACAGGCGGCGTAAGAATGTACGGGCGGCAGGAATTGCTCTGGAAGCGAACGAGAGGTGGCCCAGGAGTGAGGCGAGTTCGCGTTTGAGAACGCAACCCTTGTCGAGGGTGGTAGAGACTAAACGACGTAGGGCCAGAAGCTTGGACTGAGGCAGACGCACTTCCAAGCGATCGGTGTCCAGTTCCAAACCGAGGAAGGTGAGGACAGTGGAAGGGCCCTCAACTTTCTCTGTGGCGACAGGTATGTTCAAGAACTGGAACAAGTCCAAGATGATGGCCTTGTGCTTGGCCACCAGGGAGGTGCTTGGTGGGCAGATGTCGAGGAAGTCATCGAGGTAGTGCATTACGTCGGGCAAGGAGCCGACATGGACAAGGACACAGTTGATAGCCGTTGCCAGCTGGTTGAATATGAATGGTGAGGAGCGGAGACCAAATGGGAGGACCTTCTTGTAATAGTACATGCTGTTCCAACGGATCCCGAGAAGATGCCAGTCCGAGGGGGCGACGGGATACAGGCGAAATGCATTACGGATATCTACCTTTGTCAAGAGCGAGCCCTTGCCGAGGCGCATAATGGCGGCAATTACGGTGTCCACGGAGTCGTAATGCAGGCTGAACGCGTGGTATAGCATCGTTGACACTGCTGCCATCGGGAGACGACAGGTCATGTATCACACAAAGTTTTCCATTGGACTCCGGCACAACACCCAGACCAGATGTCTGCATGCACAGAAAGGGTGGCTCCGGAAATGGACCTGCTGTTTGGCCAGCTTCACAACATTCGGTCAAATAGGAAGAAACATACTGCATATTACGGATAGCCGACAGGTGATTGGGAGAACTATGAACACCAGATATAGCAGCAGAATGGCCTATCGTGAAACCATGACACAACCCATGCAACACAAAGTGAGAGTTGGAGTGATCCGAATGACGGTTAAGGATCCCGGCTAATCGGCGTACATTGATGGGGGTCTCCACAGAATGTTTACGGAGCAAACGCTGAGGTGGCGGACTGTCCCCTGCCACATTTGACTTCTGGGTGCTTCCCGCGGCATTGAAGGCACACATGGGCAGGATAGCAGAATGAGTTGTTGCACTGGTCCTTGTTGAAGTTGCGGCAGATAGGCTTCCCAAGATGGGTTGGCGCGCTGGACTGCGGCGGACCTCCACTCCCAGCGCCGACGGATGGAGGCCCTGGTCTAAAGGGACACCGGGCCTGGGCCACTGGGTGCACCAGAGAACAGCGCGAACATGGCGGGCGACCACGGCTGGTGAATGACGACTGCCACAAATTAGAGTCGATGACAGCCCAGTCGTACGACAGTGGTTGGGAGGCTATGGCGCGGCGGAAACGCCTGTCATAACTTAGCCATGCGTCCACCTGATACGAGTTATTTGCATCCAGAATAGTGGCCTGATATGCCAGCAAATCATTCGCCCTATCTGGAGCCGCTGCGACAATTATTCTTGTGTAGACAGTAAACGCCTCGAGCCATGACGCTACATCGTGGACATGGCGGCGCTGGGCCTGAGTTGGCTTCTGTACAAGTTGGACAGAGCGGTTGGCCCCTACAGCTAGCTGGACCACATCAGGCTCCACACCCAGCTGGTCCGGGAGGAGGTCGTCGAAGTCAATAAACTCGCCGCGTTCAATTCGCCCGCGGAGTTTATCAGGTACAGAGAGCGACGGACGAGCAGCCGGCGGATGGCCCAATGCATGAACGGAGATGGAGTTGACAAGCGGCACGACGGCTGAAGCAGATTCCAACTGCTCTACTCGCTCCATCAGGGGCTGGAGGACCTGGCCGACGGTCTGAGGAACAGCCGAAGCAAGTACATCAGGGACCACACTCAAGGCGGCGGCAGAAGAAACTGACGGCGCAACGTCGGAGACAACAGAGGCCGTGGATAATGGAGTACCGGTTGGTTGACGACGAACAGGAGTTGGCCTCGATATTTTTCGATTCATGATTGTTTCATTGCTCTATTTATCGTATTGTTAAAACTCCTTTCTCGCAATAGAACTTGGAGTGGGAAAAATCTTCTCAGAATAAATTCAAAACTTTGCGTGACGAACCGCTTAGCAAGTTATTCGTTTTTTCCTTTTCTTTTTCTTCAGAGACTTATCTTTCAACTTGCTGAAATCAGTACCCACGCAGATGATGGTGAACGCAGTACGCAATCTGCAAACTCTGTAAGTTTGCAACTAGTTTTCATGCAAGTAAATGGCCCAGAGTAATACCTGAGCTTCATAAACGACCACCTGCCCTCAGCAAGTGAACAAAACCTCACCTAGAAGCCACTAGCAGTCAATAGGCAGTGCTTCAGTCCTGTGTGAAGATTTTGTTTTCAAGATTTAGACATAGATAACTCTGAAGCTTAGCGCCGAGCAGATACAGTTACCAGCGCCCTGTTGTACATGCTGCTGAACCGTGATAGATGCTGCTGCGCTTTTGCAACAGTTGTACTCACAGGCATTCTAGTCACTCGTTTGTACACACTACCTGCCCCCCCCCCCCCCCCCCCCCCATTGTCTGCTGTCTTGGCCTCCCCACGATTGTGTTGATATTTTAAATCTTGAGTTGTGCAACAGCAGGGATATCTGGGATTTGAAGAGAGTACGAAAAGGGATGTAGCGAAGCTGGGTGGACAAGCAACTAAAGTAATGAAGGGCCTTGTACAGGGAAGAATGGAGAGAGCGATCAGTCTGCGGAGTTGGCAAGTGCCAAGTACGACAGCGACGTAAATTATACTTGGTCCGCCAAGTTAAGATTGGCGCTTATCTTCTCACTTGGTTTTTCGGTGTTCTGCCTGTGTCAACGGCATGGAACCACCGATTCACCATCTGAACATAACCATTGATCATTCCATCCTACGACATGGCAGCACAAACCATCACAGAAGTTGCGATCGGTTCGTTTCAGTCTTTTTGACTCAGCTGCCGCCTACGAACACTTCCGTCAGCGCAAGAAAACACTGCAACTTCCGCTCGAGTCCGTAAAATAGGTCAGGTTGGTTGCATTTCAGAGCGATGGAGAATATAGTTTCTGTCTACTTCCAGCTGTCTGATGGCAAGGATTGTTTACCCCGGGGAGGTATAGAAAAGCTGAAAAAGCGCTTCGCGAGCTTGAATTTCAGTGCTCAGTGCACAGCACAGCGCCTAGTGAAGGGCTATCACCAGCAAATCGCCGACGAAGAAACGGCAGGTCAAGTTGACATCTCCAGAAAGTGAGACCAATCTGGCGGACACACTTTGAAGCTCACAGAGGACAGGGCAAAGGAACTAATCAAAATAAACACCAAGTCCTGAGGGAAACACTCGTGCAAAGGACTTTCAGGAAACTAGCCTAAAGGACTGGTGCACGGCGTTAGGACTTACTAACACTTAGGCGCAGTATGCACAGGTGCTACATCAAGCGGAAGCTATCACTGCGCTGCATGTACAAGCACCAGCGGCTCGCGTGGGTGCTGATCAGCAAGTACGACAAGCGCAAGAGGCGATTTGAAAAAAGGAGACTGATATGGCGTGGCCTTTTGTCTCAAACAAAGTCGCATTATTTCGACGAACGGGGATAACACTTACAGCCAACATGCAGGCAGTCTCACTCAGCTTCTAATTGGCAAGGACTTAGGTAACAGGCACGCACTACCTTTGACCGTGATTCGAGACGAGGAGAAGTGGAACAGGCTATGAAGCGTGCAGCAGCTGTCCGGATCGAACGTTTTTGAGCTCTTCCTCCGGTGACGATAGTGGCGAGGAGGATGTGTAACTGGCTTGAATTCTCGACTGAGTTGCTTGCTGACAAGTAAATAATCATGTACATAGTGCTTTGGGATCGTGGCTTGCTTCAAATATTCGTATTTCCTTCCAAGTGTGAAGATAAGCGCCAATTGTAACTGGGCGGACCAAGTACGAAGGTTGCACGCTGCAAGCAGGTTGCAGCGAGACTATATGTGGTTGGGCATAAAATCGGTTGTGGCGACAAACGCGATTAGGCCGGCTGTAGGGACGCCGTAATGTCGCACTCGCCCCAGCACCATTCAAACAATTCCTTTTGGCAGTTCACGGCACGAACTTCAACAAAACCCCGTGAATGCGTACCAGGGGAAGGCCAGACAGCATGTCTCTAGACATCAATAGGCATCGTATGAAAAGCCAGTCAATAGCACTAAAGAGCGAAAGCCTTCGTCACGGTTCGGTTTCACTCGCGCACCGGGCCCGAGCTGGCAGCACAAACAAACGCCGGGCGCGAGCTGGCAGCACAAACAAACGCCGTACTCACACGAGACCGTTGGGCCAACGGGTGGCCACAGCCGTCAAAAACAGGAACAAACCCATCCACGGCTCTTTCTCTTGCTAGCTGTGCTGTAGGTGTATCCAACTGTTTTGCAATTTCTGTGCTCCGAGCCAGGAAAACGCAGGACAAGACGAGGACTGATAGTAAAAGCCCAGCGAGTGCAGATGCGATGCACGGACGAAGAGAGCTATTTCGATGTCGGAAAAGAAATGAACGAGCTCGAAAGATCATATGAGAGAGCGGAAGGCGGAAGGGACAATCACAGATCTAGCTGGTTTATACGAAGCAGAGAGCAATGCGAGAGAGAAGGATAAGATGATTAGTGAGCTGGATGTACTCCAGAGGCAATATGACGAAGCGACGGACTTGGCGTTTGAAATTGTAAGAACAACTCACCGCGTGCCAGTCACCTCAGCTGAAACGCAGCAGTATACCGGTAATTCGCATCAACAGTGCCGCGATGAAGCCAGGGAAATCGGCGGCTGGTGGCCAGGACATGTTTACAGCAATGAACTGTCCGCAGAACCACTGCCTGGGTTTGAGTCACAACCGGGATTGCTGGCCAGATCGCTACAACAACGAGACGTGAACAGGTCCGCCAGCGGAGAGGCAACAAATGCAACTGATCAACAACACGGATGACCGCACAGCAGTAACAGGGCATTAAAATATTTCAACAGCTACTGGTACCATGGTACTGGTGGTACCATCCCAGGCAGAGGTCACCAGCGCATTGCTGTCCAGTCCAACATTGGCCAGTATACAGATGGTTCTGCAACAGTGACCATGACAAGTGCCACTACACGTGTTACATCGGGTTCAGCAAAGCACAATCACAGGGTCGGAGAAAACTACCATCACAAGTACATCTGGAAGAACAGTCCGAAAGCAAGCGAGGCGCGGGAAAAGAACACCGCTCCACTAGAAGTTATGCTGATTCAGAGACCGCGCATGCGGACTGGTGTACACACAATAATGATGTCATGCAACTACACATACACTACAATCTCCCCCTTCAAAAACACAAGGGAGAGCCTAACAGAGGGAAGGACAGTGTGCGAAGAGTGAGCATTATGAGAAGGCGGCTGAACATGAACAAGAGAACAGAGCGGTGCTCTAGAATAGTTCAGTCCCTGTAGCGCTGTGGCTTCAGTGCGTGACGCCTTGATGGCGTCCGAGCATCACGTTGCTGAACTACCTTCTCAGGATCAGAGGGAAGCTCAGGAGACGTTCCCGGATCACAAACACGCAGCTGGTCCACATGTCTACGCACAATGACACCATTGGCCAGCTTAACTTCGAAAGACTTGGTGCCTTTCCGCTGCAATACGGTGCCAGCTGACCACTTCTGAGGCTGGTTGAACATCCGCGCATAGACGGCGCTGCCTTCGTCCAACCCTTTTGCTGGCGGCTGGTGGCAGGCAGCGGTGGTGGTATTCTTGGCTTGCGGCTGTACCAGGTGCAGTCTGGTCTTGAGCTCCCGTTGAAGGAACAATGCCGATGGAGTTTCTCCTGTTGTTGCGTGAGGAGTCGAGCGATACCGTTCCAAGAACGTCTGCAGTGCCTCGGTCCAGGACAGTAGACCACGCTTCTCACTCAACAAGGCAGCTTTGAATGTTTGGACACAGCGTTCTGCAGCTCCGTTGGTTGCGGGGAAGTATGGTGCACTGCGCAGGTGGATGATACTTCTCTCAGCCATGAAGTTGCTTTCACTCCACGGACGTGAACTGCGGGCCGTTGTCCGTCACGATTGCATCAGGAGAACCATACGCCGCAAACAGCTTCCGGAACTCTGCGATAGTCGTCTTGCTGGTGGTGGAGGACATAGGAATCACTTCCAACCACTTGGAGAATGCATCAGTCACGATCAAATACATTCGTCCGTCCATTGGTCCAGCAAAATCGGCGTGAATGCGACTCCAGGGTGCTGCTGGATTGGGCCAACGTGTCACCTCCACTGGTTGATAACGATTCCTGTTCACTTGGCATGCATGGCAGCTTCGGATGGCTCGCTCCACGTCGCTGTCAAGACCTGGCCACCATACATGGTTCCTTGCCAAAGCCTTCATGCGCACCATACCAGGGTGTGCAATGTGTAACTCTTGAACGAGCCGGGGCTGAAGCGTGCTAGGCACCACCGTGCGAAATCCTTTCTGAAGGCAGCCCTGCACTACTGTGAGCTCCTCTGCGATGCGGTGGAAGGGCTTCAGCTCTGAGGGGACAGGCTCGGGCCAACCATTGGCGACATGCTGCAGTACCTGCTTGAGCACGATGTCCTTGGCCGTCTCTGCACTGATGTCTGCTGCGAGGACTGGCAGCTGATCCTGGTGAGTCGTCAGAATCTCAGACACCTCACACACATCAACGCTATGCGAATCAAGCGACATGCGTGACAGGTAATCAGCGTTGGCGTTGGCTTCAGTCGTCTTTACCATCACATCGTATTGACACGCTGATAGTGTTACAGCCCAACGCTGCAACCGCATGGCTGCGATTGAGGGATGCCTCTCTTTGGACCGAAGATTACGGCAAGAGGGCGGTTGTCGGTCACCAGGTTGAAGTGCCGTCCATAGAGGTACAAGTGGAACTTGGTGACACCGAACACGATAGCAAGCGCTTCTCGTTCCAGTTGGCTATAATTGCGCTCGCTGGTTGTCAAAGAGCGGCTGGCGTATGCGATTGGTTGCTCCTGTCCTTCCGGCATCACATGGGACAAGACAGCACCAATTCCTGTGCCTGATGCATTGCAGGTCAGACGTAGCGGTCGCGAAGGGCTATAATGAACTAGAACTGGTGGTGCACTCAGAGCTGACTTCAAAGCTCTGAAGGCTTGCTGCTGTGGCGCTTGCCATTTCCAGACGGTGTTACGCTTCTGGAGATCGTAGAGAGGCTGTAC